TTTCAGATTAGGAACTGAATATCTCAACCTCATACTCCTTTTGAATGTATTAAGGAGCAATTTAGTATTTCCCTACACCCGCTCATGGTATGCCTACCTCCTAAAGCCAAGTACACAGAGGAAAGTACTGTGCTATCTCACAATTAGAATTCTACTGTAAAAGAGAGAAAATGGTCAAAATCATCTTATATTGAGATTTTCTTTACATTAAGAAGTAATCCTTGCTTGTGTTCAAGTGTAAATGCAATGAAAGACACCTAACCCTTGACACATTCAGTACTTCTAAGCCGAAGGCTACTCCATGCCCTTTGGAACCTTAGAACAAAGTTTCTAAGAAAACTTTAACTTTCATAGGTTCTAACTTTGGTCTTCTTGCTTCATAAGTTGTAACTTGTTTCATAGGCTCTCATTTGTTTCATAGATTCTGGTTTTTGTTTCATAAATTCTGGCCTTTGTTTCACCTTGACCACCAGGTGCTGAGGGTGGAGTATCTAGGCCAGCTATAATTAAAACCTCCATGAGGTGATATCCATCCTTAGCTAAGTTGTTCAGGCCCCTCAAAGACAATATCTCTTGCAGGAAATAAATGTAAATATGAGCCTACCTGTGTTCATGTGTCTTTTTCTCAGTGATCTAAGACAGATTAGATGAGACCTAATAAGGTTTTTATATATATATATATGCACATTGAGGTCTTCAGAGAACTTACTCAGCCCTACAGACTAGATTAGAAAGATGTAATATTGCTCTTAAAGCAAATACTGGTTTTTAATGAGAGACAAATAGTATTACATTTAGAGATAAATATTACCTTAACTTTTGAAGCTCATAAGGCAGGCAGCTGGACGAATAACTGGTTACTACTGGAACACAAGCAGTTCCTGTGTAGGACCCCTACTGGCCTGACAATTAGGAGATTAAAATAGAAGACATTTTTAGGTACACATTCTTAAAGGTCTAAGAAATACGAGAGCTAAGCCCTTCAGTTATTTTAAATTGTCCACTATTTATCAGAAAGAGATGAAGACATCCCTAGATCCTGATTTGATAAAAGGAAATGCTATAGTTTTTCCCAAGTCAGTCTTGCAATGTGTAGTGTTATATCCTGCCCCTGAAGAGCTTTCTAGAGAAGAGACCAGTGTTTTGTTGAATCTTCTAACAGAAAGAGGTTATAATGTTTCTAGGTCTAAGGCACAACTTTGCAGCCTTCAGGTAAAATGCTTAGGCCTTATTATATTTAATGTAGTGCAAAGACTGGAGAAAGAAAGAATTAAACCAATTATTTCCTTTCCACAAGACCCTAAAACCCTAAGGATATTTCTAGAAATTACAGGCTTTTTGTCGCCTTTAGATAGCAGGATATGGTGAGATTGTGTGACCCATCTATCAGCCTATTAAAAAACCCAAAAGTCAGTCATATTTTAAAGTGGAAACTTGGTTTCCAGATTGCATTTCAGAAGTTCAGACAAGCACTTGTAAGTGCCTGCCTGCAGGACACCCTTTCAGTATGTTAATAAAAGGTGAGGTATGGCTTTGGGAGTGTTTCTACAAGATCAGGGACCTGCTCAATGGCCAGTAAGATATTTAAATCATAAATTAGATATTATAGATTCATAATAATTCATTAAAAGGGTAAGCCCTAAACAATATAGTTAGAACACTTTTATTCTCTTTCAAGAGGCAAAAAGCAGCCATTCAGGTTATTGGTTTAATTTTCTGCTTGGCAATGCAATTGGAGTCAATCATAGCTTTTGTCTCTAGAGATATGTTTTACTAAGGATTGCAGATCTATTCTAAAAAAAAAAAAAACAACAACAACAACAAAAAAACCTCCTGATCTTAATTGTCCTTCTGTGCCTGAGATGGTTAAGATTTAGTTCTTATGCCATACTTAGACACTCTTTTGTCTCTTCTCCACTGCCTCTGCCCCTGAGAAATAATGCAGTTCTCAACAGTGTTTGGTTCAAAGCACTTCCCTCCTCTGTCTCTGCTGGATTTCAAGACAAAGGTTCCAGAATGGTGAGTTTCCCCTCCCTGGAACCCTTCCAGGGTAAAGCTAGCTTTCACTTATTTCTGGGCTGTATAGGAACCTGGTCTAGGCTTAATCCCAAAGGTCTTGAAGACTAAATGTAAGTTTTAGTCCAGATTTATCTGTCTTTTAGTCCTCAGGTGAAATTAGAGAATAACAAGAACAGCTAACCCAGCTCTTGCCACTTCCTTGCAGCTGTAGTCTGCCACCACTGGCACTGGATGAGATAAAGTCTAAGGGATACCTTAGATTGGGCACAGAACAAGAAGAATAGATGGAAATGCCTCTTTCCCTTTGTTTCTTTTCAATAGGTAAACATCTGCAGCACAGCAGGTTGGAGCCTTGGCAGATCTTCTTCCCTCACTGCATGGAATTCATACTTAGCTCCAAAGAGTGCTACCTAGTTTCTTTTATATGTGAACCTGGCTTGAGTGGACACCCACTGGAGATAGTTAAAGTTACTTGTAACAGTCTGTCCTTTTAAAGGAAACAGTCATATATGGCTATCAGCAACCAGGAGAAGCTGTGTAGCTGTGTATTCCAGCTGTTTTGTTTGAGTTTTTTTCTTTTAGCATTTTGGATTTTTCAAGATGTTTGCCTATAATGCAAGTTGGCTTATAGATAAATGTCACTAAAGACATGCTTCCCCCAGATTCGCAGATGATCCAAATAATGTCAACTGGTTCTACAAATACAGTACATATTGTTGTCTATATATAACTAAGGAATCTTTCATTGGTCAAAAATAATGTAATTGTAATGACCTGGTTCTCATAGGTCATCTAAAATTTATTAAGATAAATAAGACTATTGGGCTTAGGGAAACTACTGGACAGGGCTTCCCTTGGTAAAAAAAGGAGCAGCTGCCTGGAAAAAATTATTCCAGCCTTTGTTCACAAAGGGGACCCCAATAATTTCCATAGCCTTGTGGGAAATACATTGCTAAACATATTATTGCAATATGTATACATTGGTTATGGTCAAATGGCTAAGTTTTCTATGGGAAAACAATAAGGTTTTATTTAAAATGCTCTTGATACAAAACAAAATTAAAGGGCAAAGGGTTTCATGTAACTGATACTCATTGTTATTTCATGGTGTATATATTCATGCCTTCTGGGTGTACAAGTCTTCTAGGATACTGTTTATAGTAATGATCTTTTTGACTCAGATATCTGCCTTTCTTGCAATCCACCTACTTATGTTAAGAGATACATGTCAAGCCGCATGATATAACCAGTCAAATATTTTTTTCAGCTTTAATTGTTTATTGGTACATTTTAGGGATACAGTACAGTTACATTCATTGTTGGGATCTTGTACCTCTACATGACAAGTCTTGGTTCTCATTTTTTCCCCTTGTCCCTGCCCTCCCTTTACCCCCTCCTCCCCTCCCCATCTACAATCACTTTATTTCCATCTTTTCATTATCTCACATTTTTTCTTTTCCCTTTTTACCCTTCCCCTGCCCATCACACCTTCCCTACACCTTTAGCTCCTTTCTCCTCATTTCTCAATGTCAGTAATCTTATCAGGATCTTCTGTATTATTGCAGATTATTCACACCAGAGAAACTATTCGGTATTTACACATGTGTGCCTTATTTATTTCACTTAGGACTATATCTTCAATATGTATCCATTTTCCTATGAATGAATCTATTTTCTTATTCTTTATGGATGAGTAATATTCCATTTTATAGAAAAACCACATCTTCTTTATCCAGTTTCCAACTGATGGGCAAATAGGCTGTTTCCAAGTTTTAGCTATTACAAACTGTGCTGCTATAAACATGGGTGCACATACTTCTCTGTGATATGATTCTTTTAGTTCTTTTGGAAAGATACCCAGCAGAGGGATGGCTGGGTCAAATGGAACCTTCAGTCCAAGCTCTTTGAGGTATCTCCATATTGATTTCCATAGAGTCAAATATTTTTTTAAAAAACTTATGTGATATATGTTATATATGTCACTATGCTTAGGAATGTCTAGTCACCAAACAGTCGAAACTATGTCACACACTAAATTTAGAGGTTAGACATTATGAACTCCTAAGGTACATTTATAGGCCAATATGTATGTTCTCTTTAGATGGCATCCTACTAAAGGATAACAAATGAGACACAAAGGAACCTTCCCTACAGTGTCCTACATCTTTGGTAACTCACTCAACCTCCTGAGCAGGGAGATTGGTGGACACCAGAGGACAAATACACTGTGTGCCAAAGGAGGGTCACCATGAGGGAAACGTCTCCCATGATTTCACTGAAAGCAACATGGTCAAGCAAGGCCGTGACCCATCCTGATGGCTGACACTGACAGAGGAACTGAGAGGCTCTACATGTGATTCCAAAATAATGCCTGAAGAGACTTAACTGACCTTGATAGATAGCAAGAGATTCGTGTTGATTGACACAGGTCTCACTTTAACTTGGTCTTAAACACCCAGCAGAAAAGAATAACCAAAGAGGTACAAAATAATGCCATAGTAATAAACCTACTTATAAAAAGGGGCTCCAGTCACTGACCCCTCTGGCAGTTTCCAGCTTTACCAGTAGCTGACCATGGTTATGGATCATTAGGAAAAAACTATGGTAAAATCTATAAGAGCTCAGTTAGAGCTTTGTTCTTCAAATTGTCTTTTATCTTACAGCTAAAACCAGAGGGACTTATAACAAAGTATAAACTCTATCAATGAAATAATCTAAGTCCAGCAGGTTCACTCACTATTTCAATTTCTAAGTGTGACTTTCTCCCAAACCTTTCATTCTATTGTGCTCCTGCTTAATTATGCATACTCTAATTTCTTAAAAGTTTTGTTTGTTCTTGCCTAGAGTCTGCAAAACTCAAAGTGGTCATACAAATGGGACCAATGACAAATGTGCTAGACTTCTTTTACCAGGATCCACCATATCGACCTTGTAAATAGCTCATAACTGCTAACCTATACAATATCACTTCTATGTTGGATTCTGAAGTCTCCTGGACCACCTTTTCCTTATCCTCTTTTTGGGCTATATTCATATCAATTTTGCTGACCTTATAATTTGGCCCTTACATTCTTAACTGTTTCTTTGGTTTTGTCTCCTCCAGACTTAAAACTATGCAGTTACCAAGATGACAATGCCAGGTGCCTACTGAACACCTTTAGATAGACACTCTGTAAACTCTGACTGCTGATCACAACTACGACCCTCTTCAGCTGGATGTAGCCAGAACTGTCTTTGCCATTTGCCTCCACACAACATTTAGGAGTTCTTCTTCAGAGGGGGGAATATTGCATACAGGTAAGTTAATTAGATATCTTGTAGGCAGTTAGACAGGGCCACCCTGAGGGAGTCAACATGGAGGATAATCAAGACACTTCCACTCAAGGCCAGAATTGTAAAAGGAGAGAAACTACTACACCCTTGTACTTCCCCTGGGGATAAAGAGCAGTGACTGATATTCTAAGTAGGTATCAGTCACCTGGGTGGAAGGCCAAGGTTTTAACTCATCCTTTCCAGGAAACATCCCTGACCGCCCCCTTACTGAAAATCCTTGTACACTTGCTATGTGACTTCCTCCCCAATTTGACCTCCATTTAACCAGTATTACCTGGGTGACTGCACTTGTAATCTTATTGGTTAGTCATGGTCTTGCCCTAACTCGTGCCCACCTTATAATTTTCCATTGGGTCTGATAGTTTTGTCCCACTTTGTACCCCCTTCACCACATGGCTTTGCTGTATAAAACATCTTGGAGAAGAGGCGTGGTGAGCGGGCAGCCCACTTTTTGGTCCCCCTTCTGCCTCTCTTAGAAGCTTTCTTTCCCTCAATAAAAATTTCCTACTCTTAAAAATAAAAAGGCCTCGTGAGCCAGCAGGTGAGGGGAGATGGCACCTTTGTTTAACAACACTACACCTCTGGTCCTTTTCTAATACTGCAGTATGTCTGAAATGTAGCCAAAAGAGCTTGACTCATGATAGAACACAAAGTATGAGGTCCTGGGTTCAGGACAGGAAGGGAGAGGCAGAGGCTGAACGGGTTCTGGATGCTGATTCCACTATTGTTTCCATAGGATGGTACTTGGTTTCATCCCATCCTCCTTCTCTGTCTGTTCTGACTAAAATAAAATATTTTTACATATCGTGGGGTAATAGTGCCATGAATTTGTACCCACCCAACTTAATGCCTTGGGTCCATAGACAAAAAATTTGCTATAATTTTGCTTTGATGAGAGGTGCACAGCCAACCTTCACTTGCCCAGGTGGGTGGCATGGGTGTATCCAGAACACCTGTGCAAAAAGGCAGAGGCACTCTTTTCCCAAATGTGGGGTACAAGGGAGAACACCTGTGTGTGGCACCAGCTTTCCATTGCTCTCCCTAAATGCTCGAGATGATGCACTTACAAGAAAAAAAGGGCAATTTTGGTTCACAGTTTTGGATGTTAAGAGCAGAGACCCACTGCTTTGCACTTCAGATGGAAATAACAGTATGTGGTGGTGTCAATTGCTTGCCATGTCGAGGGAAACAAAAGAGGGAGAGGCAGCTAGGGCCCAACAGTCGCCTTCATGGGCATGCCCCATGCTACAAAGGCCTTCTGATAGATAGGCCCCTTCTATCTCAGGCGAACAGCACCTTCCTGAGGGCCCAACTTTAACACCTGGGACTTTGGAGGACACATTTATTGAGTAACAAAATAACAATAGCAAGAGTGTCTCTTGAGGAGGAGGAGTTACCAAATGCAAAGTGGGAGGAATGCTTCCCACAGATGCAGCAGATTTAGGGAGATCAGTAGCCAGCAGCAGAGAGAGGCAGCCATAGCCAACTTCCGGCTACCATGGAGGGATTGCGAAGTCACAGCACTGCACTCCATATTTCTTTTATGCTGTTTAAAATTTTAAGAGTTGGGTCACATGGAATTTCTAATCTTCCCCAAAGAGGTTAAGACATCATGCTATAGCAATACATGCATATGTGTGTTTATAGCAGCATAATTGGTAATAGCTAAATCCTGAAAACAGCCTGTATACCTATCAACAGACAAGTGGATGAAGAAAATGTGTTGGTTAGAAAGGACAAATCTGAGACATTTATAGAAAAAATGGATGTGCCTAGAAAATATAATGTTCAGGGCTGGGGATTTAGCTCAGTGGTTCTGCTGCCTGCCTAACAAAAGTAAGGACCCTAGTTCGATCCTCGGTACCAAAAAGAAAAAAAGAAAAGAAAATATAACGTTCAGTGAAATAAACCAGACACACAAACTTAACTGCCTTATCTCTCATCCGAGGAAGGCAAAGTTCAAACTAAGAGAAAAATAAAAGGACAGAACGAGACAAGGGGATGGCTCTCTTGTGGATGGGGAGGGGGTCCAGAGGACTAGGGACAAGAGGAAAGGGAGAGGAGATGGGGAAATAGAATGAAGATATGCCAGGTATGAGGTCCTCATAACCTCAAGGAACATGGACATTATATGCCATAAATATGAACTAAGATTGACAATATCAACAAGAACCAAAAGGGGCAAGGGAAACTAGAGGAGGGAGGGAGGGGGACAGAAGGGGATTAAAAAAAGAAACAACTGTATTATGCACAGGTACCAACTCCCCAAGATGACTGTACAATGCACGTACTGCAAACACATACTAATAAAATTTTAAAATTTTCAGAGTTGTTTTCTAAGTTTTTCAGGAAATTTATAGCGGTGGGGATGTGTGCGTGCAGATTTCTACCAGTTCTGAGTTTTAGGAAGCTGTGGTTTTCCCTCTGAAAACTTGTGTCTGTAGGGTGTTCCAGGAAGAAATGGAAGAGGGAACACGAGGGTAAGAGGGAGCACAGAGAGGCGGCCGTCTTATTGCTCTCTATGGGTTCCACCTCTCACTTTGGGAAGAAATATCTATGTGCTTAGACTCGACCTCAAAGGGCAACGAGGTCCCCAGAATTTGAGGTCTCTGCAGTCTGTCACTAGACAGGCTTCTCACCCCGAAGGACCCCCCACTCCCAGGGCTTCCGCCTCTCTTGACCAGGAGCAATCCAGGGACCAAGGGACAGATCTACTAAAGAAGTACTCAAGAATTTAGAATCCCTGGTCCCAATACAAACAAACTTCACTCAAATCCACTGGCCCTCCCTAGAATGGGTCTGAACTTGTCTTACAGTAAGGACACAAAGGCAAAGGGGGAAATCTAGTAGTCAGCACCTGTCACCCCATGAGTCTTTGCAAGCATCCGTGATACCCAGGTTCACTTTCTAGGCACCGCAGTGAGGCTGATCTCGGGCAGCCTGCATTCGACTCACCACCCACCAGCCCGGGAAGAGCCCTCCTGCCCCGTGACCCAGTGGGGCTTTACTTTCCCTTTGAAACAGGACTACCGTATGGTGGGCTGGCGGATGTCTCCGATTCCAATCCATGTGTCCATGTGGACTTCTGGAAGTACATCCCGGTTTTGCAGGGCTACCAGTGTGTGTCAGTGTGATTGCGTGTGTGTTGGGGGGGCACGTGTCCGTTAGCCTCCCCGGTCTGGGTACCCCTGAAGCTGGCACTGGCTAAAAGGGGAATCAGTGAGTCCAGTCGCTGCTTCGCCCAACCGGGCCGCGCGCTGCAGAGCCGGGGCGCCTGGGGCCACGGTCACCTTCGGTGAGGG